AGGGAGGAGAGGTTTGTGGGATGGCTCCAGTGCAGATCCAGGAATGAAGCATGCAGAGGCCAGGCCTGTGCTGGGGACAGAGCACAACCATCAGAGCCAAAACCAGGGGACAAAGTGTGTGTGCTGCATGGCCCCTGTGTCCCTCCTCTGACACCAGCTGAAACCTCACACTGTCAGGGCCTTTGCCAGCTCTGGAGGGGAAGTTTGAACTGCACAAAAATCAGCTTTTGTGATTTCCTCCTTCTGTCTGTGACATCTGATGTGCTGTGCCTTTGTGCAGCTGGAAGTGGCCCAGAAGTGACTCACACTCTTTAACCTCTGGCTAACACACCCCCACGTGAAAGCAGAAGGTCAAGCCCTCCTTGCATCACTTTTACCAGGAAATTAAAGATGTTAAAATGTTAAATAGGGAAATGTTTCAAGGGAAGGTAAATGGAGAAGTGAGAATTTGTGTTTATGAGGAAAAGTGTTGAAATACACCAGTGAAAATAAGTCAGCCTGGCATTTATTGGCAAACAAAAGCCCATGTGAATTGCTTTTAAAAACCCAAAACAACCAGAAATAGGTTGGATTTAATAACTGGTTTCAGTGTTTTCACTTGAAATCTGCTTCACAAGGATGATGTAGATAAATTGTCACCAGCAGGAGAGTCCAAACCTGGGGTGAGTCTTTAAATGCAAACTCTGAGAAAACTTTATCTTTCTGAAACAGAGTGCTTTTTCTGCTGTGCCCACATCTTTGTGGGAGGCCTTTTCTCTCTCTTTTCTTTTTCCTTTCCTTTCCTTTCCTTTCCTTTCCTTTCCTTTCCTTTCCTTTCCTTTCCTTTCCTTTCCTTTCCTTTCCTTTCCTTTCCTTTCCTTTCCTTTCCTTTCCTTTCCTTCCCATCATGTTATTAAAGGCAATTTTAATTTTTTTACTTTAACTGCTGGGCGTGCTCCTCCCAGGCACAGAGCCTGGCAGAGGGGACAGCCCCCAGGCCTGGCATGGGCAGTGTTCAGAATGTGTCAGGAAGCAGCTTGGGAGTGGTAAAATAAAGGACTTTTTTTAATTTTCCATGATGGCTCAGTGGTTGGTGGGGGAGTAGAAAGCTGATATTGGGGTATCAGCTGCATTCTTCCATTTAGCAGAATAATTAGCAAAGCAATGAAGTGAGCAGCAGTAAGAGGTGTTACTGTTAAATTACAGCTTAAACAAGAATCTCTTCCTTCCTGCCCCAAGATCACTCCTGGCTCTCTTGGCTGCTGAGGAAATGCCCATTGCTGCCTCTCTGCACCAGATCAGACCAGGCAGCTCCTTTCTTCCTTTCTTTCTGCCACCACGGCCTCTTCTCAGGAAGAGCTGGCAGTGAAAAACCTTTGTGGCACACAGAAGTAAACGCAAGGAAGTCATGAAAGAGGGGCAGCAGTGCAGAGGAGCTGTGTGAGCCCTGGGAGGGCACTGGGGACATGGGGCAGAATCTCTGCTGTGGCACTGACAACTGCTGGTCCTTTGGTCCCCAGGCAGTGCAGTGTGACTTTTGGGGGAAATGTGAAGCCTGTTTTTATACAGCAACACAGAGCAAGTGTCTAACTGTGTCCTGTGGTAGCCACCAAGGGCTAAAGACTTACAGAATTATTCTTTCAACTTTGAGGCTGATGGAAGTCAGGCCTGATGTATGTGTGCCAGATTTTTTACTGAACCACAGCAGGGAGCCTGGCAGGAGAGCCAAGGGCCAGAAAGGCAGAATTAGAGTGCTCACCTTGATAGAAAAGTGTTAGGAGGCAGAAATGGAATTTTGAAGTTAGTAAAGCAAAGTGCTGCCAGAGCACTGCCAGGGTTTCTGAGGGGCAGGGTTGCAGATGCTGCAGCCTTCTAGCATGTTGGGGAATGAGGAGTTCATGGTGTCACACTGTCCCTGGCTGGTGCAGGACAGCTCATCCCCTCAGAGAAAGCCAGTCTCTGAGCCTTTATTCAGAAACTGAGAGATTGTTTCTACTCCAAGCCAATGATAACGAGCCACCCCAATTTTCACTTCCCCAGCAGTGTCCTCTTTTTTTGTCTTTGATAAAAATGGTTTTGAAGTATGTCACAGCTTCTTGGTAGCAGCTTTCACACTTTCCCCCCACACCTGACATTCAGCTGAACTCTCGTTTTTCAGTCAGCCGCCCTGGCTGGCAGCAGGGTTCGTTGTTAAAATGTGACAACAAAAGCAAATGGAAAGCCCCAAGCAAGAAATCTGGTGTGAGATGTTACCAGACCTCTGTGAGCACCAACACGAAAGTCAGAGGCAGGTTTGGACGTGTACCTGCACTCTGTGTGTGTGTCCTGCCTGTGCAGCCACCTCCAGAGCTGCAATCTGGTTTTCCATCTGGTTTTGTAACATATCCATTTGGTGGTTTTGACAGGTGTGACACTGGCTGCATCCAGCTTTGTCATCAATTCACAGAATCGTGGAATTTTTCCAGCGCAGGAGCTGCCAGTGCAAGGTGTTTGTGCTGCCTGTGTCCTGCAGCTGCTGGTGAGGGCAGGATGAAGTCTGCAGGTTCAGGCAGTCTGAGAGGAGGAGGTTCTCCACCTGTGCCCTCCTCACCTGGCAAGCATAATGTTGGTGTTGTCCAGACTTGGCTCCAGAGGAACCTGGGAAATCTGAAAGGCAGAGTGCATCCTATATTATGAAGGTTAAACTGCACATGGTTAAATGCTGCACATGGTTAAAGCTGGCAGATGTGGTGAGAGGTTTTTGCAGCAAGATAAAAGCAAGCCAGGCAAGGCCTGCAGTGCCTGGATAATTGTGGTCTGCCTTCCAGGTAGTGGTGGAAGGATCAGTGTCTTGTTGGCAAGTGCTTGGATCCCCCTTGTCTCCCAGAGGTTGCTGAGCCCACCAGAAATACCTGTATATATCACTGCTGCCTCCTCACTGCTTAATTCTTCTCTTACCTCTTCTCTGTGGGGGTGGGAGAGCTTGGCCAGGTGGGCCATGAATAAAGAGGACACTTTCTACCAAATCTGAGCCTGAAAGCTCCAGATGGGAAAAGCAAAAGACAGTGAATAGACAGAACAGTAAAAACCAGTTTTCTAGCTGGGGAACTTGAGGGGTTTCCTTGGTCCTTGTGCCACATATTTCAGCCCCAGCACTCCTGAATCCCTGACTGCCCTGCCTGGCTGGTGAAGAACAGACATTTTGGAGGTTCTGTGGGGAGGAAGCCTGGCTGCCTCAGGCCAGGCATTCATGGTGTGTCTCTGGGTGAACAGCTGCCAGAGGAAGAGGCGTTACTAGGAGTTAGGTGCGTTAGCAGAGTGTGCTCGGAAATGCTTTGTTTACCGGCTGTTTTCTATCTCCCCCACCCTTTTTATTAGCGGTTAGTGGAGTAGAAGTGTTTTTTTCTTGCCCATCTTAAACAACAGTTTGGTTTGTGCAGAGCTTTTGCCTCTGAAGAGCTCCCAGCCTTGCTGGTGAGACTGGAGGTAGAGAAAAAACACACAGGCATCAGGTAATCCCTCAAATCTCACCCTACACTGGGGAGAGAATGATCTGTTGAGCTTTACTGGGGAACAGTCCATCAGATCACAGAAGTGCCTGTGTTACTCAGCCATGCAGGAGAGCACCAAGGGCTGGGGAAGCACCAAGGGAAGAAACCCTTATCCAGAGATAATCCATCTCTGCATGCACAGCACCCCTCCTCACTGCTTTGATCTTTGCAAAGAAAATGCAAGTGCAGAAAAGGGAAGGTAAAACAAACTCCTCAAGAGATCTTTGCAGCCAGAGCCTCTCCTCCTTTCCCTCCCCACTGTGTGGTAAGCAAAGGAAAGATTCTGCTTTCAGAAGTTGGTGATTACAGGGCAGCTATCCCCATTTCTGTCATGGCCAGAAGCCTGCAGCCCCCTCAGGAAGCTGGCAGGGTTTTGCTGCTGTCCCCACTGCCCAGGAGGATGGAGGGCTCTGCTCAAGCACTGTCTGCAGCAGTGGGCTCCTCCTTTTGGCACTGGAGGAGACACAAAGGCAGGGCTGGGGAAATGTGAGGATGTTTTTGTGGCAGCAGGTGGATGGCAGCTGTCCTAGAGTGACTTTATGATGCTCGTGTCCCAAACCATCTGCTGTGTTTATGCTGGGTATTAAGTTCTGCAATCAATAAATCTGGATATTAAGTTCTGCACCTTTAAGGCTGGTTCTGAGAGCAAAGGGGAATTTAAAAAGCGCACAATTTGTTTTCAGAAACTGCACCTGCTCCCCAGCATTCCTTCTCACAGACTGTGTTGTCTGTAGCACAGAAAACAAGAAAGAGTTCTCCTTTGCTTCTCAGTTAATTTTTTTAGCTAACTGAAGCAGAGAAGTTCCCCAGGCTGTGACTTTTCTTTTTCTTGGAGTTGATCGGCGTGCTCTGGACTGAAAACCCGGACAAACCCCAGGAGCTCACAGCTGGGGCCTGGGATGCTGCACTGGAGGGACTGGTAAGAGCCTGAGTGAGCTGAGCTACACCCCATGAGAAGGATTTTCTGAATTCGTCATCTCTTCAGAACTGCGAGAAATTGTATTGCTTAATATTACTCATTTTTTTTTTATACTTGTGAATACTTTGCTTGTTAAATAAACAGCTTTTTTCCCACTTTTCTCCAAAGAGATATTTTCCCAAAGCAATTGGGCAAAGGGCCACTTAAATCTGCTTTCTAGAAAAAACCCCTTTGGAAGTTTTGTCCCCAGACAAATAGAGCAGCCCAGCCTGGGGCTGGGAGGTGTGCGTGGAGGTGTGTGTGTGTGTGGAACAGCCCAGCTCAGGGCGTGGGGTCTGAAGCTGCTGAGTGGTTTCACCTCCTTGGGTGTTTGTGGTAAAATCATCACAGGGTGGGACGCTCTGCTCTGCTCAGAAAATCCCAGTCCCAGAGGGAGCTCATTCCCACTGCCCCTGGCTCGGACAACAGCGAGCTGTCCCTCCTGGACAGACAGCATCTCCCACCTTTTCCATTTCACTCATCAAGAAACCGAATTCCATGCTAGTGACACAACTTTATTTAGGTTGATTTCTTTGGAGCAGCTTGGCTATCACTTTTTTTAGACAATCCTTTACATTAAAAGGTTGGATATAGTCCTAATACAGAGTCCTCATTCCCACTGCCCTGCACCAACTTTTTTATTTGATTTTAATGCCATTTGACTCAAACCTTTTTGATGAAAACTTTTTCCCCAGTACAAGCAATTGCAATTTCTTCTGACCTTGTTTTGTAATGGTGACCTTTTTGTAGCTGTTACATTGCTGTAAAGTTCTTTCAAGCAGCTAAATATGCTGTTATGGGATTGTGCATTATTAGCAACTAAAAACCAGTATGTTTGTGACTTCTAGAAACACCATCCTTTCTTTTTCTGCATGATTTCACTCTGATTTTTTTTAATTTGTTGATATTTGGAATAGCCTATTTCTTAGCCACAGCTGCACAAACACTGATCCAAAGCGGGGATGAGAGACAAAACCCAATCCTTTACCTTTACACAGCCTCTGCTTCTTTTGGGTTTCATGGGAAAATGAAAGATAGGGGATTTTTGGCAGGGGAAATCTATCATTTTATGCAAATTTGCATTAAGGCAGAGAATTGTCAGCAGCAAGCGAGATCATTAGATCAGGATCTGGACTGCTGTGGTTGTCTGATTCAGAGCTGAATCGTGTATCTGAATGTTTCCCATTAGTAGAATGTCCCTCCATCCCACTCTTCTGAAAAATCAAGTGTGAAACCCTGCTAGTGAGCCCAGTTGAACAGGGCAAATATAAAATACATGCTGTATGTGTTTTGTGTTAATGTGTTACGTGTGGGAGATGAATTTTAGCTTCTTCACTGGCCTCAGATTTGGACTTTGCTAGCTTGGAAGATGCTTCCTTAAATTCCTTGTTGACAAAGTAGTAACAGATGGCATCCAGGCAGCAGTTGGTGTTGGCGAGGATGGAGGCGAAGTGAACAAAGTTGTTAATGCTCTGTATTGCCGAGCAGTTGGAGCTGACGGAGTCCACGATGAAGCGGAGGAGATGCCCGAGGTAAAGAGGTAAAAAGCATATGATGAACACAGCCATGTTTGCAGACACAATGTAGACAGCTTTCCTGGTTAGCTTTGCATTGTGATTGTTTTCGTTCTTCTTCCTCCTGAGCTCTGCAATGATGTGTATGGAGCAGTAACTCAGGATGAGCAGTGGTATGAAAAACCCTGTGATAATGGTACACAGTGTGATCACTGAGGGCGTCACAGAAGATTTCTCAAAGCAAAACTCATCTTCTCTTCGGTCCTCAAACCTTTTAATGAGGGAAGTCTCACAGATGATGACCATCCAAAGCAAACCAGAGACAAAAGCTGCCTTCAGTGGTGACCTCAGTGCCTTGGATCTCAAGGGGTACTTGATTGCAAGGTACCTGTCAGTGGCAATGATGGTGATGATACTGATGCTTATAAAGCGATTTATGAAATAGCAACCTTCCAGAACCAGGCACCACCCATCGACCTTCAGGTGCTGGAACTGAGAGAGAGTTTTAAATGGCAAGGTGAAGAGCAGCAAGCAGTCAGCCACAGCCAAGTTGACCATGTATACTCTGGTTTCTGTCCATTTGCCGAGTTTGCAGCAGAACACCCACAGCGCCAACACGTTCAGCACAATGCCCAAAACCAAAACTGGGATGTAAACACACAGCTGGACAAGTGAAAATATTTCATAGGCTGTGATATTGCAGCTGCTGCGGTTCATTTTGAGCGTATCAAAATGTACAGGTCCTGCAAAAGCGAATTAAGCCTTTTACAAGAGAGGTTCTGGACTGAATCAGTGATTAATTCTAATTGACACAGTTCAGGCCTTTACTAGCCATGAAAAGCTGATGCAGGGTACCTGGTGGAAAGGAGAGGGACAGGGACACAAGCCTGATCAGTTGTGAAGGAGAGAAAAAAATTAGATTGTCCCTGGGTCCCTTGTGGGGAAGTCTGCTCCTGAAGGGTGGCAGGGAAAAGGGCTTGGGTCCCTCTTTTGGCTCAGACTTGGATCAGGCAGCAGCAGATATTCTGCAGCAAGGAGTTATGTGAGCCATTGCAAATATTTGATAACGGGAAGGGGATGCCTAAATCCAGCTCTCATCCTTTCCCTTATAGCAGGGCTCAGTGGAAGCCAGCTGGTGTCCTCACAGCTTAAAGTGTTCTGGATGTGCAGCAGAAGGACAGCTGTCCTTTCTCTCAGTCCTGAGATGCCTCTGCATCACTTCTCACTAGTGATATGAGCAATTGTTAGTGTATCTCTTATTAGTGTATCTCTTAGTGGATCTCTCACTAGTTTCAGCTGCCATCAGGTTCAATACCCAGTACTCTGCACTGAGAATTGGAGTACTGGGTCTGCTCCCTGCCATTCAAGGATTGTCAAAGCTGGTCTTTATCTCAAAAGTACTACAGCAAACTGCCACAATTCCAAGAAAAAAGAAACTCACTGATGCCATGGAATGTGACCAGCAGCCATGTGAAAGAGGTGACCTATGCTTGGCCTGGTGGGTGGATCTAAGGGTAATTGCTGCTTGCCCTCCAGCTTTGGAGGAGTTAATGCAGAAGCACGTTCTAGGTGCAACTGTTCATGGACAGAAAAGACCCAGGATGTCTGACATGTCTTTGGGTTTTCCCTGCAAGGGGAACGTGGCTCCATGGCGGGGGGTTCATGGGTCTCAAAAGCATCCCCAGCAAGCAAACCATAAGGCACTGCTGCAGCCTTTACGTGCATCTGTGGGTCTTGGTTAGCTCTGAAAATCATGCAGCAAAGGAATCATGGCAGCAGACCTCTGAAGAGGTGAGGGAATGTGGTATCTGCAGCGGCTCTGTCCTATGGACATGAGAAATGTGTTACGAGCCCATGAGATATAAGTGAAGATCCTAACAGGGAGACCTGGAAAAGATCCAGCAAAGGCTGAGACAGCCCTTAAGCGTCTGAAAACGCGTCAGATGTGGTCAGTATCAAAATGAACCTTTGGGAATACGTTGGCTCCAGCCCTCTCCTTCTCCATCCCTATTCTGGGGTCCCACCATGGCTGGGGAAAGGCGATGCCTCGCAGAACTCAAATAAGCGTGTCAGTAAATAGCCAGGAGAAATTACCTGTTCTCCTGCTGTCCTTGGAGAGAGTGAGTTCCTCCAGCCCAGCCGTGGAGTGCTGTGCAGGCACGACGAGCAGTGCTCCTTGCACATGACCAGAGGTGTCCTCTGATCACTAATTGCTGCTGGCTGTGAGAGCAGCAACACTGGCCGAGAAAGCACCCGCGCTCCTCCTGAGCGCAGGGCAGTGCTTCCTCTGTCATCACCGTCGGTGTGGCTTGTACACCTCCTGCTGCCTGAGGAGCCTGCAATAGTCCTGCAGGAGGTGAAAGGTTTGTCTGCCATGTATCCCTGCAGCAGCTCCTCTGGTGATGGAATAGCTTTGGGTTTTTCCTTTGCTTTACCTCCCGTTGCCTGATGTCCCACTGGGCAATGCCTGTTGGCCCTCCTCGCTCAACAGACTGTGCTTGGAGGGGACCCATTGCCCTGGAAGGTCCTGAGGTCTTCCCTCTGCCTTCCAGAGTGCCATCCCTGCTGGGATTGGAGCAGGAGTGGCATCTGTTGTCACACTGCCCGAACCCTGGGACAGAACAGCCCTAACAACAGCTGTTGGAGAGGTGAGGGCAGTGGTTTGCAGGCACTTTTGTCATTATTATAAAGCGTTTCACTCTGAATCATGGTAATTCTCTTGTCTTCCATAGTTCTTCTCAGTCAGCAATTCCGAGAAAACGTGGCACTGTGACCCTGTGACCTGCTGGCTTTGTGGTTGCTCTGTGGTTGCAGGTGCCTGCATCCCAGGGGCTGCTCTTGGCTCCCCACAGCAGCCTATTTACCAGAAAAGCTCAGATAAGTTGATCAATGAGCTTAAAGGTCCTGATATTAGTACCTTGAATTGCTGTCTTGGGTAAACATATTTCCCCTTTCCGCTTTCCAGGTCATCTTAGAGCAGCTTCCGGAGTATTTCTGCATTGTCTGTCTGCACACCACAATTATAAGAATAATTCTGTGCCAGTGTACAGTCAGAATACATCACATGCTTCTGGCTTTCCAGGGACTGCTTTTGCCTTTCTTGGGGCTGCTCCCTGGTGGATGCTTACAAGTAGTTACTGACATATTGGTATGCCCAGCTCATTGATCCCCAACCAACAATATATTTATGTCATTGTCCTTGTTGGTATTTTAGTTTTCCAAGTCATCCAGCCTCTGGGTTGTGATAGTTTCACCACTGTAAAAAAAACTTTGCATCATCCTCAAGTGCTGTTCACTAGTGGTATAAACCATAAGCCGTCAAAACTGTGCCTGGAGAGGTTCAGCTCACAGCACCTCTCCAGTGTGATGCTTCCCACCCACAGCTTCGTGCTGTGGCTGCCAGACGAGGGTCTCATCAGCCCAGTGAGGTCTCAGGAGAGGGAGAAGCCATGTCACCAGGCATAAAGCAGCTGCCTGTGAGCAGCAGGTTCACCAGGATGTGTCCAAGCAAACTCAACAGCAGCAAAGGCAAAGCTAGACAAAGCGCTGTTTGTGGAGAACTCACAGTCTCCTGCTGAGGCTCTTGGGTCTGTGCCTGATTCCTGGCCACTGCAGCATCAGGATCCTCGTCCTTCTCTCCACCTCGACTCCCCATCAGCCACCCTTGCTGCAGCTGCTCACAGTCCCCTCCTTCCATGCACTCACGGGTTTCATCACCCCTGCCATGGACCAATGGTGCTCGCTCGGTATTTCCCCTGCCTCTGCAGTTCTCAGCCCGTCTCAGTCCCGCCAGTGCTGTCACCGTGTGGCACAGTGGAGGTGACACTCGTGCTGCCTTCTCCCTTCCCTGCTGGCAGCTCTCAGGGCCCAGCAGCACTGCACAGCACTGCTGCCTGTACAGGCTGCAATGCTGCCTGCAGCGACCTCCAAAGGACCTTGCACTGGCACCAGCATCCTCCACACTGTGCCTGGAAAAGTGATTTTCTTAATAAAAGTAGCCAGTGGGACAAAATATTTCTGTAAGGTAAAGAACCACTGGTACAGCCTGCTGACAGACAGATTGATGGACTCCTGCTTCCTTTCCCTGTCAGGGAAAATCTCCATCTCCCCTGCATCCCTGTGTTCTGCTGGCTGCAACTCCTGGAACGTCTCTGCCCTGCATGCTTTGTTTCCTGCCTTTCTCATGGCAAGAAGGGATGGCGCAACAGCACAACTTGACCAAAGGAGAACTGCAGAGGTGAGAGCAAAACATGTCAGTGTTACTTTCAGCATGCCAAATGGCAGTTTGAGGCTAAGTGCAGCAATCCCACACAGTGACCAGCCCTGGCTGTTGGGGCTGTTTCCCCTTTCCCCTTCCCCAGCTGCACAGAACTGCCCGCAGCAGAAAACCCGATCAGAGTGTGCTGCAACCCTCCCCACGCTCCTGCAGCGATGCCTTTTCAGGCTACCTAAAAACAGAGCCCAGACAATATTAGGAGAGTAAAAAATTCTGTTTATTGAAGGGCCTTCAGGTACATTTAGGGCAGACAAAGCCCCCAGGGGCTGCACCCAAAAATGGATGATGGGTCACAGGTTTTCACACTTTCATAAGTTTGGTCCATTTGCACATTGGGGGTTCATCTTCCAATTCCAGCTTCAGGGAATGAACTCATTTACCCCAAGTTTGCTGCCCCAACTCACTTTTGTTTCCATCTCTCAGGCCTGAGGCAGTGAGGTGTCCTTGATTGCCAGGCCTGGAGAGGAATTGCTGTGTCTGAGCAAAATGGGAAAGCAGCAGCTCACACTGTGTGTGGAGTTTGGAGTTACACACTAAAGAACTGCAGGATTACAGATACATGACAAATATAAAAGCTAAAATCCTAAGGCATCAGCAGCACCAGGGATCAGCTGAGTATCTGTGCACACACACTGGGTAGGGCATGGAAAAGCCTGTGCTTCCCAGGTGCCTGATGCTGCTCCAGTGCTTGTGGAGTTCCCTGGAGCTCACCACTGGAAGAGCTGTGCTGCACCAAGGAAACAAAATCAGAGATGCCTCCAACACCTGAAAGCAGCACCCAGCCCGCAGCACCCCAGGATCTGTCCTGTTTGAGCCCCCTGGAGCTCAAACCTCTGGTAAGAACTCAGGTTTCAGGCCTGCCCAAATGCCACCAAACAGCAAAATACTGTCTTATGCCAGCCCCTGTCTTCCATGCATAGGAGGGCCACAAATGCTTTATCCCATGGCCACTCACTCACTCACTCACTCATATAAAAGCAAGATTCTGAATTACTTTGTAGGCTTTTCCTTGTGGTTTTGTGGTTTTTTTTTCCTCAAGCCTGAAGTGGAAGCCATTATTAGCATTTTTCTTTTAAGGGACCGGAAAATTGTATCTTGCAGAAATGTTGGTAAAATGCAGCGGTTCAGCCTTGCTGTTTGGGGCAGCTGATGGGCTTTGGCAGCTGTGGCTGGTCCCCACTACCATTTCCCAGCCTCCTGTGCTAGGAAATGGAAAAGATTTGGGGTTAAGTGTGTCGCCATCCTCCTGGATTGCTACTGCAGTGCTGGATGGTGGCCAGCAGTTTGCTGTGGCCCAGGTCTGACAACTCATCTATTCCATTTACTGGGAGCACTCAGGGAGCTGAGGCATGGTTCAGACTGAAGGAAGACGCCAGAAACCCATCCTAAACTGCACATATAAACCAGATAGTAATTTTTGTCCAGGGTAGAATATGTATCTTCAGATAATCAGAAAGTTCCTTGCTCATCTTTGGGCTTCACTGTTAAATACCCTGCTGTAGGGCAGATCTTGTATCTTGGTAGCAAAGTCTTTCCTCCCAATTTCCAGTATAGTATTAAGAGCAGAGGACTCTGATTTAGAAAGGTAATAAATGACACACCTTTATTTTCACTTGCAAAAGTATGGATTTTTTATTCTTGTTTCATAGCATTCAGTGGAAACAGCAAAAAATCTTAATGATGACAGAGACTGTGAAGTCAACTAATTTCTCCTTTAAAAGGTGAGAAAAAGGAGCATTTATGAGACCTGTATGTGAGGCTACATGTATAAAAGCATTGCTGTTCTGTATTTCAGAGTAGATGACCTATTTGGAGCCCACTAGAAATTGAACAATTCTGCATGTTAACTGAGAGAAAACATCAGCATGACTGAATCTGCAAAACCAAGCAAGTTGTTTGCTTTCTAGATTAACAGTAGGTTAACAGGTTGATACAAATCTTCATATCTTTTTTTCAAAATAATAAAAAAACCCATAATAATTTTTTTGGAACAGGTATTCATTATAAGCAATGAGACGTGAGGTTCCAGAAGGGAATTCTAGGTCCAAAAACGTTTTTGAAGGCTCTCTGTGCTGTTCCTGAAGTAGAAGTGTCTTTCCTTGCTGAACACCAACTTGCCAGGATTGTAAGAGATGTCTGCCAAGACGTCTCTTGATTTCTGAGGGCAGTTAATTGCAGCACATTTGTTGATGGCCACAGGGGTGACAACGCTCACACATCTCCTTAAGCAATAGATGGTTGTTAAGATTGGGCACTATTTGTCTGCCATATCTTTTCCTGTCTGTGAAAAGAGAATTTAGAAGGCAGAACGAGGGCTAAACAGTGTTCAGTGGTTAAACTGGTCACACAGACTACTTGCTCTGCTTGCAGTGAAATACCAGTAATGCCAGAGCATTAGAAAATACACCAGTGAAGAAAACTGGCACGTGAATTATCAGCTGAATGACCTGAGTAGTTTTTTCTGTTTTTGTGGCACAGCTGTTCACTGCAGCTTCCCCCGAGATGTCTGCCAAAGAACTGACACAAAGCAATGTTTGGATTTGGGACACTTTCCGTGCTGGGAACAGTCCTTTGTGTGTTTCTTTGACCAAGGTCTAGTCGTGGTTTCAGACTGTGGTCTGAATGAGTGTCACTGCATCGTGACAGACTTGTAGGGGAACTCTATGTCAGTTGTCACTAAAGAAGTTAATTGCCTCTAAGTTTTCATGAGCAGAATATGAGCTTGCAGTCCCAGGAGGAGATTTTTCAGAGGTTTACAAGTCAGAAGATGCTGAAAGTGATAGGCCATGAAGCCAGCCAAGACAAGCTGTCACCAGGAGGTGTCTGGAGCTGCGATGCAACAATACGAGACAGTGGTCAGAGCTGGAGTCAAGGCACTGAAGACAGTAGGACAAAATTCAAGTTAACATCAGACCCTTTGGAGGTGTTTCCCCTTTTTGTACATATACCTACGATGATTGCAAACACTGTAGGTGGTTCCATTCCCTGTGCCTCAAAACTTGAGCAGCATTGTGGCACTCAACACCAGCCATGCACTACACCTTGTTCATACTATCCGTGGGTGGCTGTGACTCCTCACTTTGGTTCATCTTGGACCTCATAAATGTACACTTGGGGAACATAGAAGAAAACTCTGTGAATTCTTTGGCTGCAAAATAATAGCAAAATGCATCCAGACAGCAGTTACAATTTGCTAAGCATGCAGAGACCTTAAGATAGGTTGTAACTCCCTGGATCAGAGAATGTGCTCCAGCAACTTCCACTGCAAACCGCAAGAGCAGTGACATGTGGAAAGGTGAGAAACAGACAACAAACACACACAAATTCACAGAAATAATGTGCACGGCCTTCTGAAATAATTTTGTCTCATGAGGACTTGAAACCATCTTCTTCTTTAGACATCTGATGACTTGTACTGAGCAAAAAATCATAATCCCTAATGGAATAAAATACCCGCAGATACTGGTGAATAAAGAGGAATATCTAGGTGTAACAGATTGTCTCCGAAAGCAACAACCTTCCCAGCTACTGTGAAGTGTGTGATACAAATTGGAATAAATTATCAGTGTTATCCAAAGAAAACCACAGACAGAAGCTGATTTCAGTGGGGATCGAAGAACCTTTGCTTTTAGAGGGAACTTGATTGCAATGTATCGATCAATCGCAATCAGGGTGATGATAAGGATGCTCATAGGCATGTTTGTAAAATAGATGTTTTGTATGGCTAAACACAGCTGGTCTATGGGGTGTTTGTACTTGGTAAAATACAGCAGGAAAGGCAGGGTGAAGAGCAGGAAACTGTCAGCCACGATGAGGTTGATCATGTACACCTTGGTCTCAGTCCACCTCTTGAGTTTGCAGCAGAAGACCCAGAAGGCAATTACATTCAGTGGGATCCCCAGAGCGAGCACTGGGATGTACACAACCAGCTGAAGCACCACAATGCTGCGCTGTGCATCACTGTCAGTGCAGTTGTCCATGTTGGGCTGTCTCTGCAAGGAAACAGCACGCAGTGCAGGCATGAGACTGAGCTCAGTGACAGGATCCTGCAGCTGTGCCCCCCTCCCATGGCCCTGCAGCTCCTCGTGTCCCTGCGCCGCTCATGTGGGCAGCTTCAGTGGCTTCAGTGGAGGGCTTCAGTGGCTCCCCAGCACCAGCAGTCCCTCAGCCATCAAAGTTACACTGTCACCCACTGCCAGCTACGAGACAGCCCTCTCTTGCTGCTGTTGCAGGATTAAACCTGCCTCATTGTCCCTCCAGTCCTGGTGTGAGCAATTTGGGTCATAGCAAAGCAGAATGATAATTTTTGTTGTTACCTTTGCCTCTGCTGCTGTTGTCAGAGCCACCGGCTTTAGGGCAGCCCACACCTGAGCTGGGCAGCATTCCCCATTTGCCCTGGGCAGCATTCCCCATTTGCTCTGGGCAGCATTCCCCATTTGCCCTGGGCAGCATTCCCCATTTGCCCTGGGCAGCATTCCCCATTTGCCCTGGGCAGCATTCCCCATTTGCTCTGGGCAGCATTCCCCATTTGCCCTGGGCAGCATTCCCCATTTGCCCTCCATGGCCTTTGCTTTGCTGCTGAAGCCACCCCATGGGTTTGCTCTGGGTCTCGCCAGACCTGAGAACATCCTCAGGACTTGAGCCCTTCCAGCTTTACTCCCAGGGGCAGTGGGAATGCTGCTGCAGGCTGCTGGGTGGGTGGGTGCCTGCTGTGGGCAGGATTTGTGCCCCCAAACACAAATCCATTCATCTGCTGGGGAGAACAGCTCAGCAGGGGTACCAGCAGCCCTAACAGATAACAAGCCTCCAGAGAAAGAAGGGAAAGTGAGCACAAAGTGATCTCAGCTTCCAAAGGTAGGAAGCCAAAATTTTGCTAGGGCAGAAAACATGAATCCAAGAACTTACACTGTCTCCTGCTCCTCCTTTAAATATTTCAGGGCATTTGTCACCAGCAAGGAGGATGAATCAGACTTAGTCTGCAGCTCATAAAGGAAGTGTTTACAATGAGGCAGGCATGGAAAGTGCCTGGATTACTACAGTCTCTTACCAATACATTGCCTTATAAGTCAGCAGCTTCTAAACATCAACATGTAAACTGTAGTGAAAATACATGATTGCATGAAGCAAGTGAACTGTTTTTAGTGTCCAGGATTGAGAGACACATCTGGCTACCCCAGAGGAAATCATAACACCTGCCCTAGCACCAGAACTGGTATGGCAATCCTGAACCACAGGTGTACAGCCCTTTTTAGGGTGGAATTCATGGAGGAACTAACATGCAGCCTGAGTCCTGGTGCTCTTGGGCTTTCAGCCTCACAGGTTTTGGCCACTCTGTGGTTTCAGCCACTGCTGCAGCTGTTCCCTGGCAGCCTGTTGTGGCCACCTTGCAGTGAAAAAACCACTCTGCCTGCACATAACCAGCCTGAGGAGCAGCTGAGCCTGCTGCCGGACACCCCGGCCTCTCTGCCGGACACCCCGGCCTCTCTGCCGGACACCCCGGCCCCAATGCCGGGCACCCCGGCCCCAGCGAGCCCCCCATGCGAGCACGGAGCTGTGGCAGCTGCCAAGGCCGCGTGCCTGGGGCCCGGCGTCCCCACACGTGAGGGAGCGCTCATGGCAAACTGCAGCGAGGGGCAAAGACCCCCCTGAAGGGAATGTAGCTGCAAAACAGAGGCAGAAGAGCTGTGAACGAGGGGGAAGCCAGAGCAGCCGGCGCTGAGTGACCGTGTGCTGGCGAGCAGCAGCTGCGAACGCGCACCCCGGGGGCCGGGCGGAGCACAGTGCCACCGCGGGACAGCGCCAGGCCTTTACCTGCTCCCTGAGGGGCGCACGGGCCGCGGGCTCCTCACAAACGCTGCGGGGAACACGCGATGGCTTGGCAGGGAAAGAGATCCACGGGGGTAGAGTGACCGTGTGCTGGCGAGCAGCAGCTGCGAACGCGCACCCCGGGGGCCGGGCGGAGCACAGTGCCACCGCGGGACAGCGCCAGGCCTTTACCTGCTCCCTGAGGGGCGCACGGGCCGCGGGCTCCTCACAAACGCTGCGGGGAACACGCGATGGCTTGGCAGGGAAAGAGATCCACGGGTGTCAGTGCAGGGCACGGCTGTCCCAGGGCTGTCACAGCTGAAGCACAATAAACTCGAGCTCTCCACCAGTGCCTCATTTATCCCCTGATCTTCTTGAGCCGGAGGCTCTGGTGCCCTCTGTTGTCCCAGTGCCGGCAGCTCAAAGCTCCACCGTCAGAGCTTTTCCACCCAGAGTGCGCTCCCCCTCCTCGCCTCACACAACCCGGCAATTAAAATTTCATATTTTCAGTCCCGGGAAAGCAATTTCTGAAATAAAGCCCATAATGGCTGCAAATTGCCCTTCTGGCAGCAGGAGGTTCCTCAGGGAGCGCGCAGGCTGTGCCGCTCTGGTGCGGCGGCAGAGGCTGCTCCGGGGCCCCGGGGACAGGGGACCTTTCCCGGGGACAGTCGGGGTTTGTGCTCTCGGTGAGGTGAGCCCAGGGAGCCGGGATGCTGCTGGCACTGCAGGGTGACCGATGTCATTTATGGCTGCTTCACCCCCTGCACAGCAGCCGGGAGCCAACTAAGGACAGTCACTGCCGCCAGTGTGGCACCGAGGCGCTGGCACCTGTAGGAACATCGTTAGGAGTGTGAAAAACGAGGTTCACATAATTTTTATAGAATTTAAAAGCTTAATAAAAAAGACAATTAGGAGATAAACATAAAGTATACAGATAGGGCCGGGTGTCTCTGCATTCAGCTAAGAGAGCACACCTTACTAACAAAGGATTGTCCCTTAAAAACAGAACCCTACTACATATCCATAAATTCTCATACATACTCAGACATTCTCCTTGGAATTTTTGGTGTTCTTCTGTTTAGTTTTCTCTTGCCCCTTCCTTGGTAACAGAAATGCAATAAATTCCTCCCCCCAGAGTTCTGGTCACTGCTGTCTTCATCTGGATAAGATATTTACAAATGCAGGAGTTCTCCAGCTATTTTTTTTTTTCTCAGTCTTTGGGTTATACAAACAAAAGCAGTTTTTATTTTAATACTATGCCATAGCCTAACATATATGTATTATAGCACTATTTCTAAGTTTCATCAATAACAGAAATAAAGAAAACTATATTAATACAACAAAAAATTCCAATCTTATACACATAACATTCAGTTTAATATTTGCAAAAAGCCAACAATATAATCTGTATCTACAACAGGAGCATGCCCCAGTGGTATTTCACAGACACTGGGATGGGTTTTGCTGCCCACTGGTTACAGCAGTTGCAATCCCATCTGTGTGAGCCAGCTGACAGGAGCCAGACCGACTCCGTCAGGATTTGTCCCATTAATTCTTGTCTTTGGAGCTGCCATGGTTTGACACTGGCCACATGCCAGGCATCCACGAGAGCTGCTCGCTCGCCCTCCCCTGCCACAGCTGGGCAGAGGAGAGGAAAATTTTATCAAAGTGCTCCTGAGTTGAAATAAGGACAGGGGAAAAAGCAGTCCAAGGGCAAAATGGGCTAGTCTTAGAGCTACAAAGTGAGTTTATTACTAACAAAATCATAGGAGGATAATAAGAAGTAAAATATGCCCTTAAAACACCTTTTCTTCTCCCAACCCCTCCCTCCTTCCCACTGACACCACAGGGAGACAGAGCATGGGAGTTGTGGTCACTCCATCACTGAGATTTTCTTCTGCTGCTCAGGGAGAGGAGTCCTCCCCCTGTGAGACCCTGGGGTCCCTCTCACAGGAGACAGCTCTCTGTGCACTGCTCCAGAGTGGGTCCAACCTCACAAGCAACAGTTCTCCCAAAATTCCTGCAACATGAGTCCCTCCTGGGGCAGAGAGTGCTGCTCTGGGATCACTCTGCCAGGGCTCAGTCCCGCCAGGCCAGGCTGCTCCAGCCTGGGAGCAGGGACCCCTCAGCACAGGCCTCCCGTGGGCTCCCAGCTCCTCCAGGATTGTCCTGCTCCACTGGGGGCTCCTCCCCGGGCTGTGGGGACATCTCTGCATCCCCCATGGATCCCCAGGGGCTGTGGGGACATCTCTGCATCCCCCGTGGATCCCCAGGGGCTGTGG